GGGGTGAACAAAGGCCTCCTGTAGCGAATCGATGCGTTTTTGTAAGAAAAACATCCATATTCAAATGTAATAATCACTTTAATATAGCTTGCGCTCACTGTTGTAAACAGAAGCAGTTCAGGGGGAATGACGTATGAGGTCCGCTTTGCCCATGCGCCGCTCAGAACGGTCACTAATTAGATTTGTAAAGAAGAATGTCAAGAGGATTTTGATATAAGCCAAGAGGAGACTGGTTTTCCTTTGCTAAAGTAAGGAAACTTTGCTTCCTTTGCTCCTGTTAACAAAGGTTGGTTTTCACAAGACTCACTGGCCATGTGCAAAGCTGACCTCATACGTCATTTCTCCGGAACTGCTTTTGTGTACAACTGTTGGCACAAGTTACATTAAAGTGATTATTACGTTTTGAATATGGATATTTTTCTTACAAAAACACATTGATTCGCTACAGGAGGCCTTTGTTCACCCCGGAGCCGTGTGAGACACTTTTTTATTTTTGTTTTTTAAAGTAACGACCAAGCGGCCAGCGGCGGGCTGAGTTGAGCACATGTTTGATCAGTTTAGCCTTCTCAAATCAACATGACTTGCCTAAAATAAAATCTATAGACATAAAACACTTCATGCAATTCACAATAATAATTTCAAAATTTAACTTAGATAAATGTGTGCTGTTACACGCATATACAGTCGTTTTTGTGGAGAATGGAAGCTGAAGCGAGCTTTGCTGGACATGGAGGCGCCAGCGCGATCACTTGCATTTTGTTCTTAAAGGGTTAATTCACCCAAAAATTTAAATTAGCCCATGACGCATGCAACACCCGCTGAGTGGCATTAAACAGCTTGAAAGATCAAAGACCATTTTTAATATACTTTCGACTGGATTCGTCTGAAAGAAGAAAGTCATGTACATCTAGAATGACTTGAGGGTGAGTTATTTATGGGCTAATTTTCATTTTTGGGTGAACTAACCCTTTAAGAGTGGAAACTTAACATACGCCGTAATTTTTGCTCATAAAGGTAAGAGTAATACATCCTTCGGAATTGTAAAGGGTCTACTTTTATTTGTGTGCACTCACAAACAATATCAACAAAAACCTGTGCTTTTGTAAAATAATTAAGGAAAACAAACAGGATGCGCTTTCTGTCGTCTTGGTCTTGAGCAGGAGCGCTTCACAATGATGAACCAAAACTCAGCGAATACTTGCCTCCTCACAAACATGATAAATATATATAATAAAATGCTTTAAATACTTTGAAACGAAATAATTCAAATAGAAAACAAAAACTATTTCATTATGTAGGCTAATCCGTAAAGATGTATTTCTCTAAAGGCGCGCGTCCTGAGGAGATGGCGAGTCAGGATCGTCAAATTCATCTTGTGACACCGACTCAGAAAATACTAGTTCATTAAAAAATAATTCAAATATCTCCTTAGTATTTCATTAATTTTTTTAATTATTGTTTGTTTGTTTTTGTTTTTTGGTCTTCTGTGCCAAGATTGTGTTTGCATGCAGTACAAATAGCCTATGGCGGCATTTTAGTATCATGTTGAAAAATAAGATTAACGTCATAATATTTTAAGAATAATTATGATAATAAAATCAGGCTATAGGCCTATTGCGTGAAGTTAATGTCAGAATTCCACTTATACTCTGCCAAAAAAAATTAAAAATAAAATAACTAAATAAAATAAAATAAAAAGTCTGTGGCATCCAACCTGTCATTCTTCACATTTAACATTAAAAAACAGCAATAACAGATAGGCTTATTGACGTTTTTGAAACTCTAATTGATCGATTTCATGAAACATTCATTTGTATTAAATTTTTCTGATTTTTTCAACATGTATTCAAATATTTATTTATGTTTATTTCGTGCTGCAAATATTAAAGAGGAAAATATCATTGATTCACATGCTGCTTGAACTGAGACGAATATAGGCTAGTTATCTCACTACAAATTTAGAAGCGTGAAAACACATTTAGGCCTATTGTTTGTAGTAGTTTATTATAAAGTTGACAGAAGGCTGACACAAAAGGCTGTTTTAATATAAGAAACAAAGCACAAAGCTTATTGGGATTATTGGGTGGCTTGCATGCTACAAATGATTAAATATTCAAATATATTAAATGTTAAATATTATTGACAAGCATTTATACCGTAAATAAAACAGCTTGTGAATACACGTAACGTTAATCACTTCAGAAAAATCAACGAGTTTGAGCCAATAATGTTTTGGGGTGGCCTGTACAAATTTTTTTTGCATATGGGCCCGGGGCTATTGTTGTGGTAGTATCATGGTTTGGGCCTGTTTTGCTGCATCTGGTCCAGGACGGCCTGCCGTCATTGATGGAACAATGAGTTCTGAATTAGCTTGCGCTCACTGTTGTAAACAGAAGCAGTTCAGGGGGAATGACGTATGAGGTCCGCTTTGCCCATGCGCCGCTCAGAACGGTCACTAATTAGATTTGTAAAGAAGAATGTCAAGAGGATTTTGATATAAGCCAAGAGGAGACTGGTTTTCCTTTGCTAAAGTAAGGAAACTTTGCTTCCTTTGCTCCTGTTAACAAAGGTTGGTTTTCACAAGACTCACTGGCCATGTGCAAAGCTGACCTCATACGTCATTTCTCCGGAACTGCTTTTGTGTACAACTGTTGGCACAAGTTACATTAAAGTGATTATTACGTTTTGAATATGGATATTTTTCTTACAAAAACACATTGATTCGCTACAGGAGGCCTTTGTTCACCCCGGAGCCGTGTGAGACACTTTTTTATTTATGGATGGGAGTTTTTTATTTAACTTCTTTTGGACTGACGCATGCAACACCCGCTGAGTGGCATTAAACAGCTTGAAAGATCAAAGACCATTTTTAATATACTTTCGACTGGATTCGTCTGAAAGAAGAAAGTCATGTACATCTAGAATGACTTGAGGGTGAGTTATTTATGGGCTAATTTTCATTTTTGGGTGAACTAACCCTTTAAGAGTGGAAACTTAACATACGCCGTAATTTTTGCTCATAAAGGTAAAAGTAATACATCATTCGGAATTGTAAAGGGTCTACTTTTATTTGTGTGCACTCACAAACAATATCAACAAAAACCTGTGCTTTTGTAAAATAATTAAGGAAAACAAACAGGATGCGCTTTCTGTCGTCTTGGTCTTGAGCAGGAGCGCTTCACAATGATGAACCAAAACTCAGCGAATACTTGCCTCCTCACAAACATGATAAATATATATAATAAAATGCTTTAAATACAATATAACGAAATAATTCAAATAGAAAACAAAAACTATTTCATTATGTAGGCTAATCCGTAAAGATGTATTTCTCTAAAGGCGCGCGTCCTGAGGAGATGGCGAGTCAGGATCGTCAAATTCATCTTGTGACACCGACTCAGAAAATACTAGTTCATTAAAAAATAATTCAAATATCTCCTTAGTATTTCATTAATTTTTTTAATTATTGTTTGTTTGTTTTTGTTTTTTGGTCTTCTGTGCCAAGATTGTGTTTGCATGCAGTACAAATAGCCTATGGCGGCATTTTAGTATCATGTTGAAAAATAAGATTAACGTCATAATATTTTAAGAATAATTATGATAATAAAATCAGGCTATAGGCCTATTGCGTGAAGTTAATGTCAGAATTCCACTTATACTTTTTTAAATATATTTTTAAAATTAAAAATAAAATAACTAAATAAAATAAAATAAAAAGTCTGTGGCATCCAACCTGTCATTCTTCACATTTAACATTAAAAAACAGCAATAACAGATAGGCTTATTGACGTTTTTGAAACTCTAATTGATCGATTTCATGAAACATTCATTTGTATTAAATTTTTCAGATTTTTTCAACATGTATTAAAATATTTATTTATGTTTATTTCGTGCTGCAAATATTAAAGAGGAAAATATAATAAGATTAACGTCATAATATTTTAAGAATAATTATGATAATAAAATCAGGCTATAGGCCTATTGCGTGAAGTTAATGTCAGAATTCCACTTATACTTTTTTAAATATATTTTTAAAATTAAAAATAAAATAACTAAATAAAATAAAATAAAAAGTCTGTGGCATCCAACCTGTCATTCTTCACATTTAACATTAAAAAACAGCAATAACAGATAGGCTTATTGACGTTTTTGAAACTCTAATTGATCGATTTCATGAAACATTCATTTGTATTAAATTTTTCTGATTTTTTCAACATGTATTCAAATATTTATTTATGTTTATTTCGTGCTGCAAATATTAAAGAGGAAAATATCATTGATTCACATGCTGCTTGAACTGAGACGAATATAGGCTAGTTATCTCACTACAAATTTAGAAGCGTGAAAACACATTTAGGCCTATTGTTTGTAGTAGTTTATTATAAAGTTGACAGAAGGCTGACACAAAAGGCTGTTTTAATATAAGAAACAAAGCACAAAGCTTATTGGGATTATTGGGTGGCTTGCATGCTACAAATGATTAAATATTCAAATATATTAAATGTTAAATATTATTGACAAGCATTTATACCGTAAATAAAACAGCTTGTGAATACACGTAACGTTAATCACTTCAGAAAAATCAACGAGTTTGAGCCAATAATGTTTTGGGGTGGCCTGTACAAATTTTTTTTGCATATGGGCCCGGGGCTATTGTTGTGGTAGTATCATGGTTTGGGCCTGTTTTGCTGCATCTGGTCCAGGACGGCCTGCCGTCATTGATGGAACAATGAGTTCTGAATTATACCAGCATCTGTCCAAGAACTGAATCTCAAGAGAAAGTGGGTCATGCAGCAAGACAACGACCCCAAGCACACAAGTCGTTCTACCAAAGAATGGTTAAAGAAGAACAAAGTTAATGTTTTGGAATGACTGAGTCAAATTCCGGACCTTAATCCAATTGAAATTTTATAGAAGGACCTGAAGCAAGCAGCTCATAGGAGGAAACCCACCAACATCACAGAGTTGAAGTGGTTCTGTACTGAAAAATGGGCTTAAATTCCTACAAGCCGTTGTGCAGGACTGATCAGCAGTTACAAGAAACGTTACTTGCCGTTATTGCTGCAAAAGGGGGTCACACCAGATACTGAAAGCAAAAATTCACATACTTTTGTCACTCGCATAGATATGTAACAATGGATAATTTTTCTCAATAAATAAATGACAAAGTATATATTTTTGCCTCCTTTGTTTGATTGGATTCTCTTTGTCTACTTTCAAGATTCGTGTGAAAATCTAATGATATTTTGGGTTATATTTATGCAGAAATATAGAAAATTCTAAAGGGTTCATAAACTTTCAAGCAGCACTGTATGTATGTATGTATGTGTGTGTGTGTGTGTGTGTGTGTGTGTATGTGTGTATATATATATATATATATATATATGAAGGCCCATATAGTGAAGTGTTTAACGGTTTTCTTTCACCAGAACGATGGGAAACAAAACTACACACAAGTCTCAAACACAACTCAAGGGTTACAAAATCCCGAAGACAACTAATGGTAAGTCAAAGTTTCATGCTGTTCAAGTACAACACATAAAATTGCTTAGTTTTTTCATGTTATTTGTGAAAAGTTGTTTAACTCTCTTTTTTTTCCTCAGATAAAAGACAAAAAAAGAACTGGAAAACAACCTGTTAAACAGTCAACCCTGATGAAATGGCATGCTTTAATGTTTGTTGAACAAATTACCTTTGTATTGTACACTGTGAAAAATGCCATACTCCAATAGTCTCCAATACTAAAAAAAAATTTTTTTCTTGAAACTACATAAAAACCCTTGTCAGTACAACAAAATTACCCCAAATGTTGCCCCAACTGAAGGCCCATATAGTGAAGTGTTTAACAGTTTTCTTTCACCAGAACGATGGGAAACAAAACTACACACAAGTCTCAAGCACAACTCAAGGGTTACAAAATCCCGAAGACAACTAATGGTAAGTCAAAGTTTCATGCTGTTCAAGTACAACACATAAAATTGCTTAGTTTTTTCATGTTATTTGTGAAAAGTTGTTTAACTCTCTTTTTTTCCTCAGATAAAAGACAAAAAGAGAACTGGAAAACAACCTGTTAAACAGTCAACCCTGATGAAATGGCATGCTTTAATGTTTGTTGAACAAGTTACCTTTGTATTGTACACTGTGAAAAATGCCATACTCCAATAGTCTCCAATACTAAAAAAATTTTTTTTTCTTGAAACTACATAAAAACCCTTGTCAGTACAACAAAATTACCCCAAATGTTGCCCCAACTAGTCAAACACAGTTGTCTGAACAAAGAATTTCATATTGTTGAAATGTTAAGGCTTTGTGAGTTCCCAGCATGCATTGCAGCATGAATAAATTATGCAGTTACTGTTATAGGATTATTGTTTTGCTGTTTGCTGACTTCATAAAAAAATTTCTGTTGTTGTTTTATCATTATTGTTAGTTATTTATTGTATTGTGATGTAAAGAGTTCATCTTTTTAACATTTGTTGGCTGTCACCATTCTTAAGGTTAGTGTGTCTAGTTTTGAGGCCTAGAGTATGCTCGCACAATTTTACCCATAATGTGCAGGAGATTGTCGCCGCCGCCGCCGCCTGTAATACCATGTTGTAGCTGGAGCAGATCCAATACGTAATGGATGTTTGACGAGCATGCGCAGATATTGGATGATAGGGTTGTCATTGAAGCTAGTATTTAGTGTAAATTAGACTGTAATTTCGAGATATAGGTATGTTTCATAGATTTACACAAATTATATTATACTGTGATTTTAAACAAGTAGCGTATTCAAACTTTATTTAAGCGACGATGGCTAGTTTTGAATGAAAGGGTACGTAAGCTATGTTTAATTTTTATTAGTTTGATTCGTTTTAGAAATAAAACTCTACTCTTTACAATTTAGTTTGTTCTTTATGAAAAAAATGGGGTGTAACTATTGTCTTAATTTTTTTCTCTGATAGTCAAGATAGTTAGATAGTTCTGTCAAAAATTCGTTCATGAATCAAATATTCTTTTTCGTTCTCACTCTCTGTGCTATACGTGACAGAGTATAAAAAAGTTATAGGCCAACTAAAATATGCGGACATGATTTTTATACCATATAAAAATAAAAAGAAGAAAAACAATCCTATATCCAGCAAATAAATACACACACGGTCGGGGACAAGGCATATTAACACAAAGATGACCATTTCTTTTTTTGTGTGTTAGGCCTATATTCAAGTAAAATCCCTGGAGGGGGATTATAAATGGCTAAAGACATAAACCATCCATTCCGTTACGAGAGCGCTCTCTCTCTCTCTATGAATTGCAGGCTATTCAAAAAATAAATAATTAAATAAATAAAGCTTTGAAGTTGCCGGTATAGACGAAAACATCGCGGATGAATTTAGACATTCAAGTTTTTACATTGTAATGTAATGTAGGTCATCGTGTAGATATGTAATGTAGGTCAAAAACCCTTGCTATATGTACTGCGTTAGTCTTAAAGTCGCTGTGGATAAAAGCGTCTGCAAAATGATAAAATGTAAATAAAAATATGAATTTATTCGAGACCTACTACAGCGCACGCGCGTAAAATATCCACTACGTAGTGGATATAGTCCAGCTACGTCATCGTGCTGCAGGCTGCAGCGAGGACACACTCGTTTTCTGGGTATCCTAGTCTAGTAAGTTGTTTTACAAGAAAAAACAAAGTTGTCTACTTATTAGACTAAGTACGTTGCCCATTAACTTTTATCATTTGTAAACAAACTATTTTACGGAAGTTCTAAGCGGCCATGCATTATTTTTTATATATATATTATATATAACGAGAAAATTAAGTCGTTATAACGAGAAAACAACTCTCGTTATGTCGATATCACGAGAAAATTAAGTCGTTATAACGAGAAAACAACTTTCGTTATGTCGAGATAACGAGAAAACAACTCGTTATGTCGAGATAACGAGAAAATTAAGTCGTTATAACGAGAAAACAACTCGTTATGTTGATATAACGAGAAAATTAAGTCGTTATAACGAGAAAACAACTCGTTATGTCGATATCACGAGAAAATTAAGTCTTCATAACGAGAAAACGAGAAGAAAAAAAATTATATTGCATGGCCGCTTAGAACTTCCGTACAATTTCGATTATGAGATGATGAATTTTTATGCATTTTTTTCATCCAGGTAACAGAAAAAAAAATTATTTCCCCAAGGACAGTAATTGTTATTTCCGGTTGCTGTGACAATAATCTGTCTATTAGGAAAATAAGACAATCAGCATTGCATGAACAAACAAATTTACATTGACTAAACAAAAGTTTCGTTATTTTTTACAGTGTACAATATGTAACATCACATGCAAAAGATGTGCCTGTGTAAATGTACAAGAAAAAAAGAAACCCAACTCATGACTGTGCTATGCTTCACAATGAATGATATAACATTGAGAGTAAGCTATTATTATAGTACAGTATATCAAAAGTAGAGAATTGCAATTGTTTACCAAGTAGCAATTTTATTAGCCTATGCATGCTTATCAAAGGTTTGATTTTCATTATTTGGTGATCATGTCAAAATAATTGAATTAACTGTCCACTGGGAAAGATGTTACTGGGTTAAAACTGATTTGAAATCACATCTCTAACTGTAATAATCTCAAACTGTGATAATTCGCTGATTATTTGTTCTTAAATAACATAATATGAAAACTACATGAAGTAGCCAATTACCAGTGTTAAATGCCAAGAGAATCTGAGTTATAATCTCTTGGGTAGAGGTTTAAACCCTAAGCCTATAGGCGCTGTAAAAGGAGAAATCACAAAACCAAGAGTCTGTTGATAATTTAGGCCTATTTCATCTCACATTCATGTGTTTGTATTTCTTGTCAAATTACTTAATATACTGTCCAAAATGATATCCCATTTGTTAGTCAAAAAAGGATTTGCACCTGTATGGTTTGTACGATCGTGGTTAAAATGGGATAACCAAACCAATCCTGCAGATATATTTCAGGGATTATTTTAACATGCCCCTAATCTAATTTGACCTGAGACAGAGGAGACTAAAAGTTGCCTGACTAATCCTTGCTTATGGCTTTTATATTTTTATTGTATATGTTTAGATTGAAACTTTAGATTTTATGTATTACATTTAATTTTGTGTAAGCTTGTAACAAATAAGCAATGTCACCATGGACATGTTGGTTGACCGCAGCAAACACTGGACCACAACCTGCCCCTCAGGGCCTGGCCTGTCATTCAGGCACACACACACACACAAAGAGAAAGGAGATAGAAAGAAAGAGAGAGCGAGTGATGGAAGAAGAAGAGGGGGGTCCTAGAGGAGGTAGTGACGCATTCCCAGGCCCCAGCATCTCCGCACTTCTCAGCAGCAAGTAATGAGCTTAACCACACAGCTTCAGTGCAAAGGGGTCAATCGCTCGGATTATCACTGTCGAATTTGACATCACAATCCTCCGCACCTCTCTGTTTTTTTACATTCTTTTTTGGAAACCTTTGAACCTTTTGTAACCTTGACCTATCCTAACCTATCTTTATTCTTGTAGGTGAAAATTGATACATTAAACTTTCACAGGTTCAGAGAGGACTGGCAGCTCAAATATGGACCGTAGTTTACTCCAGCTAAAACAAAGGGTGTATAAGTGTTGTTGAGTTTGGGGGTGGATGGTAGCTTTCGGGACAGGGATTCACTTTTGTTACCTTTGAAAACATAACCCAATGCCACTGTGCAACAACAAGGTAGCTGACGATGGAACTTCAGCACAGCCACTGCAAGAGGGAAAAGCAATGGTGGACTCCCTTATCAAGGTGAGTTGATATTACATAATCCAGTAACTGATCGTTCCTCTAAACAAACCTCCTTTTCTGAGAGTTTTGTGGTGATATCTTTTCTAATAATCAGGGCACCATACATTCATTTTTTGATAACAGACTGGATTTTATACAAAAATATTATATAATTTAAATCTTTCCCTGAATATTGTATGTTGTCACATATTTTCTCTTGTGTGGTCTAATGCTAAATATTATGATAAAAAATGAGAGGAGTTCATCAATTAGATATAAAATGCAGAAAATCATTTGTCATTTATTTTCCATCGTATTTAAGATGTGATGAAAAACTTGTTGAGGTTTAGATCAAAGATGGCAAAGCATGTGCGTGTCCTCATTTCTCCTTATTTTCAGGCTGAACATGAAAGCATCTTATAAAGGTTCCTCAAGCCTTAGGGTGAAAAGGCACTATCTCTGAGTAGGGATGATCCACGCTCCACTGCTTGATTATCTTCAGTGTGAGCCAGTGGAGGCATGTCAATACTCTGACTATCCCAGCAAAATTACCTGTTTACTCTGTTCACCTACTTATTTTTAGCATTGATACATACTCGCTTCAGGCATACAGTTAAAACATTTTTTAAAAATGAGCAGCATTATCCAAATGGACAGTATGTACTGAACCAAGGTCCCAAAAGTTTCCAAAGCTTATCCTGAAATAGCCATCTTATGACAAGGAGATTATAAGTAATATTTGTCACTCAAACTAATCCTTAGTCTATGATGTTTGATAACCTGAACAGTTATCTTAACTTATAAAACCAGTGATATATGTGATTTTATAACATAAAAAGATCATGTGATACTGAAGACTGGAGTAATGGTTGCTGAAAATTCAGCTTTGCCATCACAGGAATAAATGACATTTTAAAATTGCCCACATTCAAATAGAAAACTTGTAATAATTTTAATAATATTTGACAATATTACTGTTTTTACTGTATTTTTGATCAAAGAAATGCAGCTTTGGTGAGCATAATAGACATCTTTTGATTAAAAAATCTAACCAACCCCAAACTTTTGATTGGTAGTGTAGTATATATGCATATGGAAAATGTGGATTTGGATTGGATTTAAAGAACCAAACAGATTTCTACCAAAAACTCCTAGATATGTCCGTTTTCCTCCTTCTAGAATTGGAAAGGTTTTTTTCCCCACCACAAGCAGTATTGTTTGTTCTAAAAGAAGGCCTAATATATGTCAAGTAAAACACTTTCCTTGTGCTCTAGAACTTGGGATGGACCTGGGTCAGTGATGTATTGTATTACAGGCATTTGTAACATAGCATTATTAATAACTGCACTCAGAACAGTTTGGCTGATGTATGACATGTTATTCTGAATGAAATCCTATTGTGCCATCAAAACTTTTCTGTTTATTAATACGAGATCAGTCTAGATAATGAATATATTGACATATTATTTTCTTTATAAAGTTAAAGTTCATAACACCATAGTTGTTCTGATCTGACTCAGGTGGTGGCATGTTATCGGCACTTGGCCTCTTGTATTGGTGGATGCACGGACAACTCCAGCCTAAGACGTGATCTTCGGCAAACACGAGAGCGAGCCCAGACACTAGCGCTGTCCTGCCGAAACCACCTGACAGCTCGACTGAGGGATAAAACATTACCGGAGGCTGAGAGGAAGGAAACAGAGCTGCTATGGGTGGCATTCTCCTCTTGTCTGGAGCTCTTACATGCAGACATGTGCAAGGTTTTCACCATGGTCAAGCACTTTTCCTTGGCCAATAACAGTACCATGGTGCAAACCGGCATACAGGGTAAGCATGCATAACTGTAGGAGTTTCGTAACAGATTACTAATTATTTAGTAGCTAGTGACAAAGTAACTTCTGTATATTCCTCAAACTTACTAAATGTGAATGTGCTGTCATATTAACAAAATTTCAGTGAAATTTGGCTTGAAAAACCATTATTCAGTCTTTACAATGGCTTAAAGCTATACAACTTTTTGTCTTATGGAGTTTTTGTCTATTCAAATTTTTTTTTTTCTGAAAGGCATTTCGCCAGCTGAACAATCGGTATGTTGTTAAACAACAGCACAATCCATTGAACGCACTGTACTTCTGTCCCTAAGCCTCGTTTTCATTCCCTTGATTAAGGTCTCTTGGAATGACTGAATTTCGCAGAGTAACCGTAATTGTGACTACACGTTAATTGTCACAGCCCTGTAATAAGCCTGATACAAGTGTTTGCTTAAGCAGGGGGGACAACAGAGTTGGCAGCACGGGCTTTGAGCCTGCCTGACCTGCAGGAGGCAGGTGGCAGTACCCAGACATCCAGCATGGAGGGTCAGGAGCAGAGTCAGCTGGAGCAAGAGATTGCACAGGTGGACCGTACACTGGAGGACATGGAGCTGAAGGTCAATGTGCTGCGCTGGACAGTGGAGGCACTGGGTCCTCAGTATGCTGACCCCGTCAGCACTGACAGTGCTTCGCTAGCGCTGCTGTCCATCGACGAAGAGGCAGCTCAAGCCTTTTGCAGTCGCAGCCAGGTGTTTGCAGCAATGATGCTGTGTGGTGTGGCAATCTTTGCCGTAGTGCTATCAGTGTGTGTGGTGTTCCTGGTCTGAAGTCTTATCACTTGTGTTGTGTAGGTTTTTCTTTTTCCAAGGTCTCTTCAGCTGTGTTCAGCCAAACATCAACAGTCTGTGTACTTATTAACTATGTAACAGTTCCTTACTTTTGATCTCGACAGAGCCTGTGACTCCCTTTTACAAATCAAAAAAACTTTGCCAATAATTTTGAGTGTGTGATCATTTATAGCAAAGTAAAGCAAGATAAATTAATCTTCACTCTATTGCTGAATTGAAAGTAGTAAAATAGTAAAAAAATAAGATCTGATTTACTGATGTAGTATGAGCATGCTGCGCATAAACACAAGATCGGTTTACTGTTCATAGGCTGGTTCATCATATTGTACCTTCAGAACTTTGCTCATCATCTGTTTTAGTTTTTGAGTGAATATAGTATCAATATCAACACTGACACAACATTTAATCCTTTAACTATTACCTAGCAAATGTGTACTGTCCTCTCAAAACACCACCAACAGAAACACATAGGGCTTTAATATGTTATGCACATGTTTTTATCTATTGTGGCTTTTAATTATGCTTAATTATGTAGTTTTGTGACAGGTTTCGAAACCTGTTACAAAAGCCAGAAACAATAGAATTGTTTGTTTTAAAAGGTTAGTCAGCGTTAACTGGTATTAATACTCTGTTACTAATTATAAACAAGTAGGAGTAAACTGATAATAAAATATAATTAATAAAAAGTTTACAGAAAAAAAATTTAATATTGTAATTACCTCAGTATGAAGGCTGCTTTTTCAAAGACATTTGAAATAGATTATTCCAATGTTCATTTACAGAATATTTTGAGACAATGTTGATAATCCTTTTGTTTTCCTTCATGCACTGTAATATCTTCACTTTCAAATATCTCATGAATATTATATTTTGTAGAAAAATAAATAAAATAATTAAATAAATAATATTTTTCAAATAAACTGTTAGAACCCGTTTACTATATGTGTCATAAGATCTTGTCAGGCAACATCAGACTGAAATTTAGAGTCAGTCTGTTTCTGTCAATTTCCATGTTTATTGCTAGAAAGTTGTAAAATCACACACACACACACAAAATCAGGGGGTTAGGCTGTAGAGGTATCCCATATTTTGGTAACAGAGAAAGGTTCCTATCTGTCACAGAGAAAGGAGATACGTTTGGAAACCTTTACAGGTCTTATTGTGGTAAAAAACACACACACAATGTGTTACGGTTCCAGTTATATACAGTTCTTCTGAATTATTCCAGGAATTTCAAAAGTTTTGTGTCTAATGTAATGACTTTAGGGGACAAATACAGAGTAGAAAAGCAAAATCATGCGGTCACATTAGGTCCAGTACTATGGAAGCACATAGGTAGCGAAATTCAATTTAAAATGCAATATGCAAAATGGCAATGTATTTCTGTATTTAAATTGACATTTTCCATTACCCATACGTGCAAAGTTTGGTGCAAAAGTAAAATGAAAATTGAATTATATAATTTACATTTGCCCTTTCCAACAGTAGTCTTAATATGTGAATTGCATGCAAATTTGAACGCTTTATAAGTTGCGAAATGAAAATGAAAATCTATAACACAAATTGATTTGATATGTGTAACATGTTCAAGCAGAAATGGTAGCATAACTGATCATTTAAAAGCTATTTGTCCTAAATGCATTTAGACTAAAAGTTAGAACACTTAGGATTGCATTTTCATCATGACGCCGTGGGATATTTGTAGCAAAATTCAATTTGAAAATGCATTCCGAGCTGACCACGCCCACCCTCCGTCACTCATTGCTTCAAGGCAGGGATTTGCGGAAGCGTGGTACGTTTGGATCGTTTGAAACATGGCGGCTGGAGATCTGATAAGATCGCTGAATTCACTGACAGATGAAGTGGAGCGTGAACAGAGAAATATATGAAGCGTATTCCATGCTAAAATCAAACGTTCGTTCGAACGTCTATCTGAACGTCTTGAGCTTTGAGCGTCTTACACTGCGGGTGACCCACGTGACGTCAGCGTCTTGAAATTAGCGGGTGTATTCAATACATTTTAGGAATGTATTCAAATTGAATTTTGCTACAAATATCCCACGGCGTCATGATGCATTTACTAATAATAATTTAGGACAAATAGCATTTAAATGATCATTTTGCTACCATTTCTGCTTGAACATGTTACACATATCGAATCAATTTTGTATTTTTATTTCGCAACTTATAAAGCGTTCAAATTGGCATGCAATTTACATATTAAGACGACTAAGATAATTTTCATTTTCCTTTTGCAACAAACTTTGCACGTATGGGTAATGGAAAATGTGAATTTAAATACAGAAATACATTGCCATTTTGCATATTGCATTGCCATTTTGCATATTGCATTTTAAATTGAATTTCGCTACCTATGTGCTTCCATACCGTACCGCCGCGATCCCGCAACAATTTGAAGTCCTTCACAGATTTTATACTTTATATACACGCAAGTGCTTATTTTCGGCAGAATGAGGTCTGCACACCATATACATCTAATCTCTGCGATTAGAAATGGATTTAGCGGAATAATGACTGATCATTATTTAAGGTCTGACACGGAGTCTGTTCGGCTGTTGAGAGGTTCACGCATTTTGGTCAGAGGTATGTATGTATGTTTTTGCCATTAAAAGTGATACACACGTCTTGGTTTGCAGATATTCTGTTTGTTTACTTATGACCAGTTCTCTATGATTTGCATATTCTACTGAATAATTGTTCCCTATTGTCTTTATTTCAGAGTTGAGCACATCAGTTAAAACTGTATGACCTGAAAAAATCAGATATCGCTAAGTCTGGCAATAGGAAGTTATTCTTTGATACTCATGCAATAGTTCATCTGCTTGAGGAAAGCGGTAATATTCCTTGTATGTTTCTAAAATGTTCGGGCTAATTCCAATTCAATGATTCATCAAAATGTTCGGTGTCCTTTCAGGATTCATGACCCAGCAGGCAGAGGTCATTGTCAATATGATGGTAAATATCACAAATTCAAACATGGTCTTCATGTATTAAACCAAATGCAGCAGGTGAGATTTTCATTGTTTTTCCATGCGGTTCTGATTATTTGAATGGACCCATGAATCGACCATCACTTATTGATTTAGCTAATATGAGGCGAATTAGAGCTCTCATGAGGTGTAACTTTGTGAATTCAAAGTTACTTTTGATAAATAAAACTCTCAGATTCATGGCAAAAGTTGGCAAACAATTACCAAAGTTAATTATGGCGTTATGTTTTCAATGTACATATTAAAAAAATGGCTCTGTTGTGGTCTACAGTCATGGCCAAAAGTTTTGGCAGTGACATAAATTGTGTTTTGCAAAGTTTGCTGCTTCAGTATTTGTAGATTATTTTTCAACATGTTTCTATGGTATACTGAAAAACAATAAGCATATATCATAAGTCTTAAAAAATGATATGATAATGATATAATGAGTCAATATTTACAGTGTTGACCCTTGTTCTTCATAACCTCTGCGATTCGCTCTGGCATGCTGGATATTAGCTTCTGGGCCAAATCCTGACTGATGGCGATCCATTCTTTTTTAGTTATCCTTGTTAGTTCTCGGAGTTGATCACAATTTGTGGGCTTCTGTTTGTCCACTCGCCTTTTGAGGACTGACCACAGGTTCTCTGTGGGATTGGGATCCGGGGAGTTGCCTGGCCACGGATCCAAAAATTTAAATTTAATCATCTTCGAGCCACATCTTTATAAATCTTGCTTTGTGACATGGTGCTACATCATGCTGGAAAATGCATGGATCATCACCAAATTGCTCATGGATCATTGGAAGAAGTCGCTCTTGCAGGACGTTTTGATAAGTTTATGACGTTTTGTCAGTTTATGTACATATGGCAGAAATGTACGGAAAAATCAATTAAAGACGTAATCAAACAGACGATGAACACTATTAACAGCAATTATTATATGATGCAATCAAACTTATAGCAAAATGTGGTAGTTCTGTATGTTGTTTCAAGGTATTAATTCAAAAATGCAAATCATTCAGTAGCCTAACGAAACACCGCTGACGCTGTGTGTTGCTCAGCGATGCACGACAGTTCTGCTGCTAAGTTTGTTTGTTAGTGACCCTTCCCCAAGTCACTAACATCACTATTCTGATCTGTGAAACGTTCACAGTTCAGTACGGGTCAGCTGACCCTTCCCCGAGTCACTAACATCACTATTCTGATCTGTGAAAACGTTCACAGTTCAGTACGGGTCAGCTGACCCTTCCCCGAGTCACTAACATCACTATTCTGATCTGTGAAAACGTTCACAGTTCAGTACGGGTCAGCTGACCCTTCCCCGAGTCACTAACATCACTATTCTGATCTGTGAAAACGTTCACAGTTCAGTACGGGTCAGCTGACCCTTCCCCGAGTCACTAACATCACTATTGTGATCTGTGAAAACGTTCACAGTTCAGTACGGGTCAGCTGACCCTTCCCCGAGTCACTAACATCACTATTCTGATCTGTGAAAATGTTCATAGTTCAGTACGGGTCTTCCCTTCCCTGAAGGGTCTGCATGGCCGCATCACCACCTCGGGTGTGCATTCTTTTTCTAATAACTCAACGGACCGTCGTCAATTATTCCTTACTTTGCATGTCTATGACAACGCACTGCATATTTATATCCAAAAGAAATCTGAATATCAAACCGCAAACTATCTTTACTGCGGTCAATTGCCTATGCATTTGAGCCGATAAGGCGATGGGACCGAGCAGTATTAGGGGTTGAAGAAACCGGTAAAGTGTGGATCGGAAACAATATTCGTTTACGTGGATACTCCTCAAGACGGTCATTCCGACATGCTTTGTGTGCATTTGCTGATGAAGGCACGACAGAAAGCTCAATTTGGTAGCCTACTCTCGTACTGTCCGAGCTGAGCTGTGGCTTTGTGTGTGTGCAGCGCCGCCGGCGCGAACAGAAGTTATCACAACGCGTGAGTAACACATTTAAATCTCTTTCAGAAAAGGTCTATCACAGCGTGTAAGTACCGCACTGAAATCTATTCCGTGCGGTCTCACACTTGAATGGCTTAAACACTTTATTTAAACTGACAAGGCTTAAAACACGTGAGAATGATACACTTTGAGGGAGCAGCACTGGTCCGATTGTTCAGATAACGTTAGGTGATTAGTTAAACACTACATCCTGTTAACAGCAGGAAAGCTAATTGTATTCGCAGGTGAACCTAAAATATGATACATACAACTGGTGAACCAATCAATGTAATGCGTATGTCTTAATGGTCTGACATAATAAAATGCGACATGAATGATATTGTATGAAGCATTGTGCCTCGCATTATGAAAACAATGTTTGGGATACTATGATCAAAACTTAGCATATAGACAGTTTGATGTTGAATATCCATCCAAATTATGGTGAAAAACTAATTATTTGTGTGTTAAAATAACATCCGTGTGTTCAAACTGTAAAGAAATGCTTATATTCACTGGCCATCGGAGCGAACCAACCCTGTGACGTCACACGCGGTGGTACTGCAAGATGGCGGCGCCCTTGCTCCAAAAGCTATAACAAAACAACCTTTTTTCTTTAAAATGGTTACATTAATCATGTTTGTTATATTTTTTTTAATCAAAGTGGAAATCACTTTACTAAATAATGTTAACTT